CTCTAAAAACTTCATCAAACTTCGAAACGCTTCGAAATCTGATCAAAAAGGTTGCACAATTTTCATAAATAAAAAGTCATGCTCGACCGACACTGAGACCGACAGCGGTCCATTTATTAAATGCGCTATGTTGTAAATGGTTTTATCTTAAGCCTCGAAAAGTCTTTGAAAAGTGACTTTTTAAAAGTCAACTAATGAAAATGCCATAAATTCTGTTGCCTGATCACAGTTTTTATTCATTTCGTGCTTATTAAAAGGTCAAAGTAACACAAATTCTGCATGATTTGTTAAGCTAATAAGATTACATGTTGAAATGCTCGAGTGTTCTTTAATAAAAACCCCGTGTAAAGACGGTTAATGCTTTTTTGATTTGAAATTTTCCACACAAATCATGCCCGGTCGTTCAATTTGATGTAATCATAATCATGTGCGAAAATGTAATAGTGATAAAACGTCAATTGGTTAAAAATGAATTGGTAAACTGTGCGATGAAGATTCTCGAAATTTTATCATGTGTGGAGCGAAAATCAAGTCAAATTTAATTTAATCGAATTCAATTTGGTGCATGGCAGTTCCATCGCTTAATTAAATCAACGACAACCATTTTCGTCGGTTGCATTTGAAGCGCAATAAACGAATGCTGTGTCGGTCATTCAATTTGAACAATCGCGCTAATTCAATAAAGCAAATCAACTCAACAACACACATCATTTGAATTCTGTTTTAATGCGAGACATAAATCACTGTCAAAAGACATTTCTTCGCTTGCCGAGAGTGCAGAGAATAAACCAGAGCCTCATTCATAGTCAGCAAAACACACAGAGTGTTTCTTTGTTTTGATTCGACATTCGATCGAATAACACCCTCTGTGGGCTTTGTTATTGTCATGAATCCGCGAAAAATAGACGACTTTCAACGGTTCTCGGCGTAACCAATCCAAATATAATCTAATGAATACAACTATTTTAAATCGTAAATTGTGTATACACGTCGTTAACATTCAAATTTCGTACCAATGTGCGAAGTACGCGCGAGCGCGCAGATCTTCATTTCAATTCAAGACAATCACAAATCGTGACTTGTTTACTGCGATATGGAACGAAAAATGTACGCGCCGCCGAGAACTGAGCGAAACGTGAACATTGTTACCCATTGTTAATCATTTTATTATCGATCGCTTGGATAATTATTCGCTAAAATTCGTGAATTCGAAAGTGGATTTACCTTTTTTCAAATATCATCGTTTACATTCTTCGAATTCCGAAACCATTTTGAACTCGTTTAAAGCACGTCGAGTCTTTAACATTCGCACACACACGATCTATTTGCAAGTCATTCAATTGAAAAATTCAACATTGCATTGATATTTTGATATATATGTGGAAAATTTCAGATTTAAAAAATGTTGACGAACAAAGAGAACGTTCAAGTGATTGATGAGTCGAGAATTCTGAATACAAATGAGAAGTGTCAATTAACGCTGTGAAAACAAAAACTGAATTGATTTGCAAAAAAATGGCGAATTAAACATCTGAATGTGATTTTCGAACATGAAATCATCGAATTAAAATTCCAGTCTTCTTATATTGAAAACGACGCACCTCAAAATTATTATGTAAGCACCACAAAAAAATGTTTCAAAATTCATGAATTCATGAAACGGCCAAATTCCATTCAATTCGAAATAATTTGAATTTTTAATCAGATCGAATTCCGGTGAAATCAGAAGTTTCAGTGTAAATGTTAAGCAATTATAATTTTCAAAATTCGTTGTACGACGTTCGCTGTCGAATATAGTCTTCTTTTAACTTTAATGAACTCGTTTAAAAAAATTAGAAACGAAAATTTCATAATTTTCATGGAAAAAACTTAATTTTCATTTTTTTTTCGATGAACTGCAATTAAAGTCCAATTAAATTTGAAACTGAAAGAAAAAAAATTAAATCAAAAAAATCATTTATATTCGATTAAAAAATGTTCACGTTTTCATTAAATTTCAAGGCATCATTTTTGCAATTTCAAACCTGTGGAAAAAAATGAGAGAGAAAGGCACTTAAAATAATGTAAAAAGAGACACTTTTCGGGGACAAAGCAAAAAAAGTTAAAAAATCGGGTTGAAATTCAAAAACCATATTGATTATCATCAACGCGTCGAAAAAAGTCTCGCGGCATACATTATCAATAATAATAAAATCCACTGGACGATGAAAAAACGTATCTAAAAATAGTCATTAATATGTGGAATGTTAAAAATTACAGACGCTTGATTGACATTTATACGCTTCTCGTGTCGACCCGTCGTTATTATCATTTTCATATGTTTTTGTTCACGTCTCATCTCCTTCTAATCGGACAATGACAAAAAAGCACTTTGAGTTCATACATTCTTTTTTTTTTGTATTTTCGACACATTTATATAGTGAAATAAACAAATTGGACGTTTTTTTTCAACAGTTATGGTTATCATCGCTCAATAATCTCATGTTTTTTGTCGGCACGTGACAGTAAACAGGCAAAAAATCCCCCCACCGGTAAACGCGTTTTAAACTAGTTTTTGTTTGGGATTCGAGTAACGTGACAATTTAAAAATATCGAGATCCGGGTTTTGAAAACACTCCGAATTGTTTGTTTTGAACAACATCTTGGTCACGCTTTGATATCATGTAATTCAACATCTTCTCGCACTAGGGGAAATGATCTATTCGCGAATGGACAAAATTTATTAGTTGTATGATAAAGTCGTCATTTTGGTAAAATAATTCAAGAAATTCGCATACAATTCGCAAGCTAATCGCAAAAAGTTATCACAATCAAACTATATAAATATACGCTTGCAAACGAACCAAGTGAATAGCGGCGACGCAAGAAAACGAAGTGAGTGAATAGCGGCAACGGATAACATTTTTTCTTTCGTTCGTTGTCGCTATTCACTCATTTCGTTTTCGTGCGTCGCCGCTATTCACTTGGCTCGTTTACAAGCGTTCACAATTTGATACATACAAAACATACAAATTTTGCGAATTGTCTCACGTTCATAGCGTTTTGTTTGCGAATTGTTTTTTAAATCACAACTTTACTGGCCCATCGCTTACAAATCATTTCGCATGAAATTCACAAAATATCGAATAATTCGCTATTTTCTGATCGAGATCCGATCCCCTAGTTCTCGCATTTCAATCAACTTATTTCAAGTGCAAGTATAACATTATTGGACGAGAAAAAAATCCATATTCAATTGAGACGTCATTTAAATACGTCGACGTCATTTGGCCAAGTTTAATGAATATGTAAACAACAAATAGTTTCTACTACCACACACACCATTTTAGTTTATTCAAACGGCGAATATAAAGCGAGTAATTTAAATTAGACGGTTTTTAAATTGAGGAGAGATTAATGATAGCAAAGCGCATAAATCTGACACATCCGAACATAAATTCGACAGTTAAGCAGCAATTTAATACACCGACACTTTTTATAGATTCAAATTGGTGGCGACCTTCAGCAGCAGTTCAATCGGAAGAATTGCATATTGATGTCACATATATATACAGTGAATCTTATTTTTTTGATAGACAAAATAACAAGCAAAGTAAGCAGAGAAACTCTCCACTAACATAGGATTCATATACGAATGGCGTGTGAGTGGAGTGTGTCATGCAAAATTTTGTCTACCAAAAATATTAGATTCACTGTAGAAGCGGAATACCTTAGTGATGACTGATGAGCAAAATATTAAAATTTAAAAAAATCCACTGTCTCCAGTGCTCTGAGTAGCTGGAAGTTGTCCTTCTCACAAATCTATTCAAAACATCGAGAGGAGAGTATGTTTTTATTCAGACATTACTCAACTATAAGCGCTGAATAACATACTCTCTTCTCGATTTATTCAATAGATATATTGTTCTGAAAAACCTTCTCTACAGAGACGTACTACATGAAGTATAGAAACATCAAAATTTTGCTCCGAAAAGAATCGGATTTGACAAATGTTGAAAATACTTCAATTAGCTTTTTATTAGATTAGAAAAAGTGTCTGTCGAACACAAAGAGCTAGCTTGTATCGCAATTCTTCACGATGTATTTGATTAAATTTAAGCGTTGAATAATTGAAATTGAATGGTTAAAACGGTTGTCGAGACTGGCACTGCCATATAAAATTATGTACTCTAAAGCCAGACGATTTAAGTCTGAATTCAAAGCCGCGTCTAAATACCTTCAAGGACAAAAGTTCAAAAATTTTACAGACACTTTGATATTTACTCATACAATTATTCATTTTAAATGATTTTATTATTTATTTGAAATGATTTTAAATAAAATAAATGCCTATTTTTGCCATTTTGTCTACTAATTTGTTGTTTCTTGCTGCCTCTCGAATTTTGAATGAGCTTGTGATATAAAGAGATGGCAAAATCAACACAAGTTACAGTGTAGTCCAACATGTTATCAGTGTCATAAGCTATTTTTACACTCACAAAACGTTTGTGTTATAAGTCAGTTGGTAAGGGGAAAGTATTTACAGCGCTAAACGGTTCATTATCCATATTCTTCTTATTCTTTCAATTTCACTTGGAATGATCAAGTCTGTTTCAATGACTGCCATGAACTCGAAACTTTTTCCAACATTTGAATCGATTATTATAAAATGTTTACATATACAAGAGTCTCTTGTCAAGAGATATTCATTATATTCTGCTTTATTGTGTAAAAGTTTAGTTGTTGTTGCTCCAATTCCTAATAAATAATGCAATAATAATTTATTGCATAATGAATCATGTGTTGTTCGATTAATGATGCCGATTGACATTGAAATCTTCAATTAACTGGCAATCAATTGAATCGATTTATTGAAAAAGCAATGAACCAATCTTTTTCTTTGCCGTGGCTTTGGAGAAAGACATTTTTTAATAATTTTTTCCGAATTTTTCACTATTATTTCCTACTAGATTTCCTACATTGAATTTATTAAAAAAAAAAATCTTTTTCCTATCTTCCAGTATAACATCGGACTGCGGGATCTCCAATTGGATACAATACTTTTTGCTAAAAAGTATTCAAACGTTTATTCCAAGAACCATGATGATGGATCGATTTTTCACAAAATCAATGTGCCGTCAATTGATGGCACTGGCACTATTATCGTTAATTTGCATGTCTGACGGTCATTTGATTAAAAAACGACACGACGGAAGTGTTGTTTCGAATGGCAACGAATCGAATCCACAACCAGAAATTGATGAAGCATCCGAGACTGATGCCGAAGGCATTCACAGTGGCATAGAGGTGACAAATAATGGAAATGACAATAATGATGTAAATAACACGCCGGAAATAAAAGTGACAAGCACAACCGATGTAAATAATGGCATTGAACAAAATTTTACCGGCAACACCAATAGCACCAATCAAACGGTCAACGAGACAATAGCATCGATCAATGGCACCAATCAAACGGTCACCAATTTACAAAAAGCGAATTTTACCAAAGAAATTAGTCAAGACGATTCCGTAGAAAATAAGTGAGTAGAGACCCCACACTGTGAAGCGAAACAGTGTTCTTTTGACAACAAATCTCAATCTAATTTATTCGAATTATTTTCAGATTGCCATCAAAACTTAGCGATAAGTCAGAGCCAGTTGCAAAGCCAATAGCTCGAATAGCCGCTGTTTCATTGAAGGATGACGAAAACAAAGAAATTCAATCAACTCGAACTCAACCATCAAATCCTTCCGAAAAACCAAAGAGACTTGACACAACATTTGCACGATCAACCGAACGCACGGTTGCTGCTGACATCGAAGTCAGTACAGTGCCGGTAAGTCAGTCAACCGCATCGATTCTATCGACAATTGTACAATCGCCAAAAATTGCGGCGACCGAAAAAATTCCATCGCGAATTTCATCAATTTCAATGCCAGAGATGACGGAAAAACGTGCAAAATTTTTAAGTGAAAAACTCGAGACGTCATCACCATCAACGGCTCACAATCCCGATGCATCGTGGTCGAATCTGAAGACCGTTGGTGAAGTACATCATAATAATGTGACGTTGGGCATTAAATCGGTTAATGGAAAATTGGACAGTGAAGAAGTGGCCGAAAGTAGCCATTCATCTGAGTCGGCAGCCGCACAAAAAGACGGCGAAGAACATGAAACACAATTACAAAAATCAAACTCGAGTCAAATTTCCGATGTTTCTGACGATAATTCGTTGAGCTCATTACAGTCCTCGTCATCATCGCATCGACCCACAAATTCGGTGACGCCAAAAATTAAAACAACCGAATTTGATGAATCCAAACAGGCGGTGGACAAAGAGCAACCAACTGAAATTCCAAAGACAAAAGTTACGGATGTGATGCAAACCACGAAGGTCACGGAATTGAAGGAAGAACATCCGAAAATCGTTGACGGATCCACGGCAGCTGGCATTAGCTCAACTCCATCTGGTGTAAGTCCATCAGTGTTAAATTCGACCGAACGTTCAAAAGCTGAAGAAAGTACGGAAAGAGTGACTGAAAATGTGACAGAACCCGCGACGGAAAAAGATGTCTATACAACGACCGAAGAGGATGAACCAACCACAACGATCGAAGTAGAAACTGTGATGCCAAATGACACGACGACCTTAAGTCACATTCCAACGGTGAAAACTAAAGAAAATTTGGTCGTAGAAACAACAACAGCAACAGCAATGATCCCGACAACCGAAACAACAGACGTTCCAACGACAATTTATGTTAGTTCACCCAAAGAAGATGAGAATAAAGTGCATCACGAGTACATTGAAAATGTGGTACCTGTTCAACCTACCGAATCGATTCAATCAAATCAATCTTTTTCAATCAATTCGAATACAACGCCCATGGTCGAAATCGAGTCAACAACTCCCGAAATAACAAAGGTATTCGTTCATCCAACGAAACCAATCACCACAAAAGCAAATTCAACCGAAATAAATCAAAAAGTCATCAATGATGGAAAAGTACGTGAACCGATTTTCAGTTCGACATCAACAACGGAACGAAGTGTAACGACAACAGTACTCCCAGTCAATGAATCAACCGACGCACCACTGCTGCAAACCACTACCTTCGTTTCGGTGCAACCAAAATCACCACCAGAAACCGATACCGTTACACCAGAATCACTGCCACCAGAGCACACCGAAGGTGTGGCACAAGGTGAAATCGGCGAACCGGCCGATGTAAACGCAATGATTGCCATTGGCATCAGTCTTGTTGCTGTGATTACATTGATTTTACTCGTTGGTTTTTTGTTGGTCATGCGAAAACGACAAAAACAATTGACCTACGGTCAAAGATGCCGACCGATTGGCCTGGACGCATACAGTTTGGATAATATTTCGGTGTACAACAGTGTAAGACGGAAGAGTGCAATGCGAACATCAAAACGTGCTTTTGGGAATGCCGGTTTCGATGATCCTGGACTGAAGAATAACCCATTGAGCATTTCACAATTGGCAACATTCTCACAGAAACGCGTTTCGATCAATGAAGAATTCAAAGATATTCCCACAGTAACTGCACGCATTGAAGAGGTGCCCGTTGGATGCGAGGATAAGAATAGGCAAGAGTCAATTTTTTACACTTTTTCCAAAGTTCCAAATTATTTTCTTTTCCCTTCCCGAATAGATACGCAAATGTGGTACCACTGCCGGAGAGTCGTGTCCATTTGAAGCAAGTCGATGACGACGAAAAAACCGAATACATTAATGCAAACTTTGTAAAAGGTCCCAAAGATACAACCCATTACTATATTGCTTGTCAAGCCCCACTCGAGCATACCGTCATTGATTTTTGGCGTATGATCTGGGAACAAAATTCACGCGTCATTATTATGGCCACCGATTTAACGGAAAATGGCATTGAAAAATGTGCCGAATATTTACCATCGTCGTTTGTAATTGACAATCATGTCACGTTCGGTGACTATCAAATCACATTGAAAAATCGTGAAGTTCGTGATAAATACGCGATGTCAACGGTTCATTTGAAAAATGAATGCACAAAAACATGGCGAGAAATTACACACTTTTGGTATCAATGGCCAGAGAATGGTGTGCCAATCGATGAAGCTAGTGTTATTGCTATGTTGTTGGAGGCGCGTAGCTACTTGAAAATGGTTACACCAGAACAAAGCGATAAAAGTGGACAAGCAGAAAGCGATCTCGATAGTAAAATCGGCAATGGCAACGCAGATAAGACCAAATCATTGCAACGGGTTCAAGGGTAAGATTATCGTTACCATAAATTTACACAGAAAATTGACAATTTTTTTTCCTATTTTTCTATGTTTTCGATTTTTTTTTTTTTGTACTTTTGTAAATCTTTTCTGGAAATCATTTTTCTCTTATTTTAAATTAATTTAAAATTTATTAATCTTATTAAATTAATAAATTTCTTGAAAAATTTTCAGACCGTTGACAGTGCACTGTTCACCGGGAACTGGTCGTACAGGAACAATCATCGCATGTGATATTGCAATTAGATCACTTGAGCAACCAGCACGAAATGTCGATGTGCCGCAAATTGTCTATTTCGTTCGAAGAGGTCGTGCCAGTGCCGTTCAAACACGCGAGCAATACGAATTTATCTATAAAGTATGAATCACTTTTTTATCAGCATTTTATGTCGGTCATAATGGTTAAGGCCAAACGAAGTCAAGCTTTGATTTTATCGAATTAATATGAGAGACGGAATTAAATAATGACTAATTGCACTTACATTCAGTTTAATGATTTTTGCTGAAAAAAATACTGTACTGTGAAACAAATCAAATAATGTCATAGAAATTATTTTATGTGGTTCAAATCAATTTAAGAAAAATCGATTTTAATTCGGTCATTCAATGTCAAGAACTTCTTCGTTTTGTGCCTTTTCTTTTGTTCAATTTAATTTTTTTTACTTTTAAATTTCAATTAAATTTGAATTTGAATATAATAAAATGTCTCTATATTTCAGGTGGCTCATGTGTATGCAACAAAATTAACGGGTCCAGTGAATGATAATTGAGTCGTTCATACGTGTTCAAGGGGCATTCGTGCAAAGAGTGCAATCTCCACAATTTCCTGAAGCCAAGCGGTTAATCAATTACCCTCTCAAACGAACTGAAGAACTAAAAATCCGATGACGACAAAAAAGTTTCAAGACGAATTCATGGTCATTTGGAAGCTTTGTGGCATCTTTGTCATTTGTGACAAAAAAGAAATTTATACTTTTAGTAAATTTATTGCAAAAGAAACCAAAATATAATTTGCATAGTTTAAGGATCACATCTGTAATAATGAAAAATGTAAAAAAAAACTCAATTGAGTATATTTCAAGTAGTGCTAAGATTTTGGGACCATATATTGTGATAAAAATTGGCTTGCTCGCCCATATCATTGCAGCTTGTAAATACTGTAAAATTATTAGCTATTCCCATTGGCAAGTTATTTAGTTAATCTAGAGAGAACTAGTATCTGAAACAAAAATTGGCTTGATATTGGTCGATTTGACGTGCAGCTGCATCGAGAACACACAGAATACGCGTGCGTTAGAGAAAATTGCATCACATTGAATAGGTGTTAAGGAAAGGTTTATTAGTCAAAGAGTGGCATAAAAGGGCATGAGCCCAATGCCAAATTATGCTATACGTAACGTGTAAATTTAGTCGAATTTATTAGAATGTTTCCATGAATTGAGCTAAACCGAAAATATTTAAAACAGTATCGCAGTCGATATGAAATTCGGAGTTTTTTTTGTGTAAATATTTAGCAACTATTGATCAAGACCATTCCACTCAAAATCAATGATATTTTTTTTTTAAACGTATTATTATATAAAATTATCAATGAACAATGATATTCAAACATTCCATGAACCGAAGTTTATGTAGTGAAATTATTTTTTATTCCAGCCACACTGGAGAAGTATTTGAATAATACTTTAACCGAATAATCGAAAATAAATATGAAATGAATATTTTTTGGCGTTTATTTTTTCGTCGTTTTTTGGCAGGTTTCATAGGGAGAGATGGGTTGACCAACAAAAAAATCTTTTCGTTTTTTAGACCGGGGTAAATCCCGAAGACTTACCGAAGACTTAAACGGAAAGGGGCCAAACACAGAACTCTATCAAAACCTCCGCCCACCTATGGGCTCGCATTGCGATAACATCTATGCAACTATCCGTCCGGATATAAAATCGATAAAAAAACTAAGCATTCTATACAATTTTTTTAGTTCTGTGAAAAAACGGATTTTTTGGCGAATCAAAGGACAGATTTTGAAGTTCACATTTGCAGAACTTCTTTCAATTAAAAGAGACTGGATTCAATATAAAATAACAAAAACTGGCCTTCAATAAATTTTGGCTTTATTTAATTCGATAAAAAACATTGTTCACTTGAACCGACTAGAATATTCTTGACCTCAAGAAATTTGTCAAAATAAAACTGCAACTTGCCCATACATTTTTTTATATGAACATGTTGCTCTCTTTAACAAATTCCTTGAGCTCACGAATATTCTAACCGATTCTCTTTAAAATAATACTATAGTTTGATTGGTATACCATTGACGATTTGAAACCAAATTTTGATTTTAAAGAAGACTAAATGAAGAATAAGATAATTACAAATAAATGCGGCGTACATCTTCCAATTCAGCTGGTTTCCGGCACAAAGGACAGTTCGGACAATCTTCAAGTGCCACTGTAATACACATTGTACAAAATATATGGCCACATGCAATGGAAGAGACACTCTTTCCCTTCAGGCTTTCAAAACAAATGACGCATTCTTTTTGTTCTAACATTGGTTCCGGTTCTGGTGCCGTTGGTTTTTGTAAATCTCGAAATAAAATTTCATCTTGACTGAGTGATGCGACTTCCACTTCGATCGTTATTGAATTGTTGTTAATAAACTCATTTTGTGGATTCAGCAGTTCATCCCATGATAAGAAATTGTTCGTCCATAGGCTATGACCCGGTAGAAAGTATTTTTTCTGAACTTGTTTCACTGAATGCTCAGTTTTGGCGGAAAGAATTCGCACCAACATTTGATGGTTGCATGGTTTGTCAATTTTCAACGTCAAACGTACGCAAAGTTGATCATTATGTTTGTAAATCGTCAATTTCCATATCCAATCTTCATTTGTGAACTCTGGTGATTCAACAGCCATTAGCGATCGAATATTTTTAACTGTCGCTTGATATTTACGGCGATTATTTATGTGATTTATAAAATTATGATCATCACCACACTTGAAAATTAAATCACTTTTGTTGGGATCATTTGGATCGGCGACATCAATTTTCACATCCAAAGTGATCGTGTCATTTTTCACATAAAATTTGCTTGCATCAAATAAATCGCTCCATTCGATAAATGCTTCGCCATGACCAAATTTATCATCGTGCACACATGGTAAAGAGTGATGTTCAACTGCGGCTGCATTGTGACCAAACGACAAGAGTTTTATCGAGATAGATGCTGCGTAAGACCATTTCGACGATGTGTCTTGTTTTCGGCAATGTAAGTAAGCAAAAAGTGAGTATTTATTGTCAGCCATCTTCTTGCAAATGCGAATCATCCACGGAATGCCACGGATCATTATTTCAGTTGAATAAATATTCTCATGCAATTCGCTAATTTTCGAAATTTCGATGAAAAATCGGGGAATTGATATCGTTGATGCTAACGTTTGGAGAAAATGCCTTGCATTTAGAATGGAAGCATTCTCCATGAATGAAATCTCGAGCGTAATTGATTTATCGTTCAAAAAGCCATTTGATGGTTCCACTAACTCATTCCATGCTAGGAACTTTTCCATTCGAGCCCGATCAAAGTGTACAGCTGTTTTCTCTTTGCCGTTTTTTGAACGAAGTTTCACTAACATCCATTTGATTGATTCACCATTAAAATCTAAACACATTGCAAGATGACCGTTATATTTACAAACGGTTAATGTTAGTTTTGAATTTTGTAAGTTAAATTTTGATGATTTGACAGCTGTTAAATGTTCGATATTTTTTATGGTTATATCAAATTTTGAAATGTCATCGGTTTTCTCATGGTTTTTAAGAATGATCTCACTTTGATTACGGCCAGTTGAATCAGCGACTATTATTTTCACTTTTAATTTGATGGTGTCATTGTTCACATAAGATTTGCTCCCATAAATCAGTCGACACATTAAATCGTTCCAATCGATGAACGATGAAGTACCAATTACATTATCGTTCACACAAAAAACATGCGGTAATATATGATGGACATCTGGCTCCACATTCGGCTCAAGCGATTGAAGTTTGATCGAAGCGGACGCAACACAACACCAATTTTTGGATTTGTTTTCTTTTTTGCACTGCAAATAAACGCCAAGCAATGATTTTCTTCCGTTAAAATGTTTCTTGAGATGAATTTGCCATGGTATTTCTTGAACAATTACTATCGGCGACCAAAATGTTTCCAATTGAAGAATGTTTGGAACTTTGAACGAAAAATCTATTTCAGAAATCGACATGTTTTATGCTTGAATTTTGATCTATGAACAACCAATCTTCTTATGACTTCGAGGAGTTTACGAAAACAATGAGACGATTGTATGCGGTTCTGAAAGAGAATGAATTCATCACTTTGAAGTATCATTTATAATTATTCAATGTGGTAAAGCAAAGCGGGGATTTCCAAATCAGATTCATCTGTGACTTATGATAGCGTGCGTAGGCGACGTGTACTCGTTCCCAAATATGGTATTTTGATATGTTTTCATCATTACATATAACACACTGTTTATATATAGTCATAGTGTACGTTTTTTGTCTGGGATTTTTCATTTTTTGCTTATGTAAAGTTCTCAAAAATTTCCACATTTTTAATTATATTTTGGTTTAAACAAAAAAATGAATATGCTAATCAGAAGCTTTGTGTTTGCGTATGTAGAAATAGAAAGTTAGTTGGCAATATACTCAAATATTCTCTGACTGATGCCGATAAAAACTGCGATAGTAACTGTTGGTACGTGTTACTGTTTCAATATGATGATATCTTTAAGTAACTTAAATAGATATAATAAACTCATATAATTCACAAAAAAAATTTTTTTGAAAACGGCGATTTTTTTTGAAAACTGACGGAACTGATACATTTAATTATATTTGTGTCGCAATACTGACGGTATTACATTTTGCTGATGATGAATAGCAGTATGAGTCATACCCGTGTGCAAAAGTAGTGAGTGACTGACCAGTTGGGTGAAATCAACTGAAAATGCATTTTGCTAACTGT